AATTTGTTTTTCATACACATCATTATTTTTTTATTGGGTCCTTGCAATGTTGGAAAAAAAAATTCAATATTCTATTAATGTTTAGTTTAACAAAATAAAATTCAATTTTGTTTATTTTTTTTATGAAAAATCTAATGAGTTATTGGTTAGATTTGTAATCGAAAAAAAAAATCTCGAAGAAAGAGAAATTATAACATATATTTCATGATTTATTATATTGAACGCTTGTATTAATTTTTCATTCTACAATTGATTTTTTCTTGATGGTAACAAAACATTAACAACATTCATGCCCTTTTTGCGTTGAAAAACAAATTGTTCCATCCTGCAACATAGGACATAGGATAGGGAATCAAACTAGTTAAGGTATTAAATTTCTTAAAGTTTATGTTGTTAAATTTGATTGGTAATTGATATAGGCTAATAATTAAATTAATTGATTTTGGGTGATTTTGTTATGAAATATGATTTAAGATATAATAGGTTTAATCAATGTGTTACGAGTATCAAGGCTTAAGAAATTATATCAATCTTTGCTTGGAATTCTGGAAAGAAAAGTTTTGAGGTTGGAGATGATAAAATTTTAGTTTGGCTCCTAATTTATGAAAATTATTTTCAGTCCTTAAGCTTTGAAAAATTTACAATTTAAGTCTTGAAATGTATTTTGAAATTCTTCAAAGAATTGATTGTAAGGTTAAAAATGATGAACTCAAGTTTGGTAATTGATTTATGATAATTTCAATTTAGTCCCTGAATCTTATAAAATTATAATTTGAACCCGGGGAAAAAACAAATCTGATCCTAATGGTAAAAGACAATTTATATGTTATTTGTCAACAAGTAATTCAGATGTATTGATGATTTATTATTTATATTTTTAAATATTGATAATGACACTTATCAATCCTTTATGTCCCAACAAGTAATTCAAATGTATTGATGATTTATTATGTTTTATTTGATTTTGTTTGAATTTAAAGTTAATTTGTTATTGTGCTTAAATATGTTTTGGTATTTTAAGAGCATCATATATGACTCATTTATAATAAAAGTGGTTGAATACTATGAACTGAGAATTCAATATATGATTGTGAGTAATCAATATCTTTAAGGATATTTATAAAATATGTGTTTGCATTTGTATGATATAATAAAATTAGTTATATCATTATGAATAATTGATATAAATATATTTTTGAAAGTATTTATAAAATATATTTGTTTGCATATAAAGTGAGTAATTATTTTAAAAGATGTGTTTTATGAAGTGTGAAATATGCATTTTGATATCACTTGGGAGGGATGCATTTGATTTGTGCATATGAAGTGTGCAAATGATATATTTGATGTGTGGTGCAAATGATATATTTGATTTGTGCTCATAGTATTTAGTGTGACTACCACCACAAATTTTCAAAACATTGTACCAATTATATGAACTGATGTACTAATATGAAAGTTTTTAATTCAATAATCATCATATTTGTGTTATGATAATATTATTTTGAGGTGCATTTATTTTGATTACTCCCTAAACCATGGTAGCCCAATCATTTTAACAATGATTTTTATTTCAAGTATATATATTATTAAATGCTAGAGGAAGTATTTCGATGATTAATCACTTATGAATAATGAGACAATCATTTGGAGATTCATTATTGAAGGATATATTTATAAACTTTTGATTATGATTATATGCTGATTAATTTTATTTGGATTATGATATTTTATGGTATGCAAATTTTACGTGGAATCTATTTTTTTAATTTTTTATAGATTTAAGGTTTGAGGCTTAATGCCACTAGGGATGTTTTTGGTGGCATCTCCTTGACTATATGCCAGTCATGACCTATTATGATAGACTGATATGTTTTTAGGATTGTGACAAATATGGTAACAAATCAATTTGATTAAAGAGAAAGAGATCATTTTTTGAATTACAAGAAATATGAATAAAAATAAATTATGCATAAGTTGTTTTCTAATAAAAGTATTAGAGTGTGTAATGAAAGCATGGTTTATTGATACTTAAAAGTGTATTTTTATCAAGGTTTTATATCATTATTTTGCACTTGAAGTATTAATAACTCCTTAACTAAAGCATGTTTTATAATAATATATCTAATAATATAAGATACCTTTAATTTATGGTAAATGTTCATTTTAAATGCAGACCTATCACATAAATGAAAGGATTGATTAATGAATTTAAGAACTGAAATTGAAAGGATAAAGAGATGGCCAAACATAGAAAAGAGATGTCGGTGCAATCCAAACCGGAACACTGTTCGGTAATTGGGTCATATCTAGAGCTATATATCTCAGATTTAGGTCCAATTTATATGGATAGAAAGGTAAGACACATGCCTACAACTTTCATATGGAGCCCAAGATCTAAAAAGGCCATTATCAAGCCCAAATTGTAGCAACAACAAAGAAGCCCGAATCTGTCTTCCAGCCCGAGCACTGTTCGGTATTTTGGCCATATCTGGAGTTCTAGAAGTCCAAATGAGCTGAATGTTTTACACAAGAAAGCTGAGACAATTGCCTACAACTTTCATGTTTGCAACTGGCTCCAGTTTTGACGTTATCAATGACGTTTTGGGCAGACAAGAGAAGATAAGGATTGTCACCAAGTCAAAAGTTGGTCACCCACTTATCAATTAGTCATCAAATCAATAGTTCCCATTTTTGGCCTATAAAAGGAGGCATTTGCCATGCATTTAGGCATCTTGGTTTCCAGATCAAGATCATGCTCTTCCTTTCTCTCTTTGTATTTTTTATGCTTTGTTTTCATTAATATTAAGTTTATGCCTTTCATTTCCTTTCCTTTACTTAGTTAACTTTTATGTTCTTATTTTGTTTATCTATTTTGCTTTCTTTCATTATGTCTAGCTAAGTTAATTATGTCAAGGTGAAAAGGTTACACTAATGGTGTAAGAATAAGTATAATGTAAACTTAATATGGACTTTAATGTTTGATACTAACATGTTTTATATTTGTTATCTTGTTCACTCTTT